CCATGTTCAATAACAGGCACTGGGTATTCCAACAAGATTCGGCGCCAGCTCATAGAGCGAAGAGCACACAAGACTGGCTGGCGGCGCGTGAAATCGACTTCATCCGGCACGAAGACTGGCCCTCCTCCAGTCCAGATTTGAATCCGTTAGATTACAAGATATGGCAACACTTGGAGGAAAAGGCGTGCTCAAAGCCTCATCCCAATTTGGAGTCACTCAAGACATCCTTGATAAAGGCAGCCGCCGATATTGACATGGACCTCGTTCGTGCTGCGATAGACGACTGGCCGCGCAGATTGAAGGCCTGTATTCAAAATCATGGAGGTTATTTTGAATAAACTTTAGTGTCATAAGAATCTATGTTTTGTTAAGTTCATTTTGGTATATGAATGGTTACATAATGAATAAACTTGTTTCAATTATTTTACATTAAACATGTGACAGAATTTATGACCTGACTAGGTAAGTAAGATGGGAACTAAAGTTGAGTGTCAACTTCGAACTGATGATAGGGAAGTGGTAGATGCCATTAACATAACAACAAACATAACATTTATCGTCAAATAATAGTGTTTTCAAAACAACCGCGTTTTCTATTATTATAAATAGCACTTTCACTGTTTTCGTTTGAATATAACTTGTGATAAACTGTTATTTATTGAAATGAGGAAACTGTAAAGTTGATGTTATTACGCAAGATTGTATAGATTGTGGCACAATTATATTACATGTGTATTCTACAAATATAAGATTCCAGTTTTACAATTGGAAAAGTTGTAGGTTATTAATACGCTTTTATTAGCTTCAGACTTATGTATGTTAGTATGTAACGCAATCTTTGAACATGATTTTGACCCCCTTCAAAACGCATTAACTCGAAATTTTGTACTCATTAAGGACCAGTGACAATTGAATATTAAAAAAAACTAAAAAAAATTAAATTCAACTAAAAAATTAAAAATTAATAATAGTTTTAAAAAACTAACAAATTACGCTTTTATAGAAAATCCAACTAAAAAATAGAAAATAAATTTTAATAAATTTGAATTAAAAATAGTGTAAGAAAATATGATTTTATTATAAGATCTGTATGGAAATTGATATGATTGATTAAAATAAAAAAAAACAAATATGAGAGTTTTAATTTTAATTTAATATTATTTGCTTGCCTCAAAAGGTTTTGCTGGCGGTAAAGCGTTGTATAGATCTGCACGCGAGTCTGAGATGTGAGCTTCAAAATCTCGCCTATGCCTGGTGCGAAATAGCCATGTGTTTCGGCTTCATGGATCTGACTCAAAGTATTGAATGAAATTCGTATCTCGATCTTAAGCCTCCAACGGACCACCGACATTTATTATGCGGTCTTTAATAGATTAATAAAATCGATTATTTATCTACACCGTATCATATGCGATAAAATTGAGATTTATGTCTGTAGAAAAATCGTATCTTTTAGTTGCAAAAATTATTTGACATCAACTCCATATGACAAAATGTATTTTAAAAGGAAACCCAAACAGCAAACAAAAGTATTTAACTATATTAAAAATTCGTCATGAAACCACAATGAAACGTAAAAAAATATTGGTTTTTAAGAAGTGCCATTAAACACGATGTAGTCATGTTAATGGTGACTGTGGCATGTTCTACCACCGCATCGTACATTCGAGCCACGTCCGTAGAAACGGTTGAGGTTCAAGGTATTTGGATGACGGCAAAT